GTGAGGGCTGTGAGACATGGATATGGCAATCCAGGTGACCAAGGGCACAACAGTCAGCCCCCCCAGTCCGGGTTAGGTTTGCCTGCTCTAAGCAACAGTATAAGCTCTAGAGCACTGATTCGCAACCTACTTGTCACAGTGGGCCACCCTTGTAGCTCTCAATGTGTGTTACCTGGGCTTACTACAACTTACTTCCTGTGTATCCATTTAAAAACGTCTTGTATCTGTTATTCTACAGTAATGCAATACAAATAAATATTCTGTAATACCTCTCATTTCTACACTGCCAAATGTCTACCAAGCACATTTAAATAAGCTCTCAATGTGTTAAATGGGCCGCAGCAGTGTGCTGATTGGGCAGCACATGGCCCGCAGGTTGAGAAACTCACTGCTCTACAGGCAGCCTGTCTCCTTCCCAGAAATTTTATCTATTTACCCAGTGGAGCAATCATATAAGAAATCCCATGAGCTTAAGGATGCACACACTGACACAGATACACAAAAGACCACACCAAAAGACTGAATATACATCTGCTCCAGGAAGCATAGGCCTTTTATCTCAATAGAAGAGAACAAGGGAAGTGAACATACCAGCAAAGGCTACAATCTAGAGGTTTCAGTCTGTTAGACTAGCTAATGGTACCAGAAACTAAGTGTGCTACTACTAAAGTGTATCCTCAAAAGCACATAGCCCACATACATATCTTGATCCATTTTTTCTACTAACCTAAAGTTAAAAAGGTAACTTTGTACACCAACATAAACTAATTTTATATTACAGTTAAACAACGCACTTTTAATTGTTTTCTTCTTTGAAAAAGTTGAGCAATGAGATTTAATCACTTGTCATTACGTTGGAGGTCTTTTATTATCTAGCTACTATCAGATCCGATTTGAGTTCTTGAGCTTTAGCCAGTTTAACAGGTACATGACTTGAATCAAGAAACTTATACTTAGCTTTGTTAGGCTGAACTTCACACATTTCATTGCCTTACCTTACAAAGGAGAAGGAAAAGAAGGGAAATCAAAAGAAATATCTTACCTCCTCAGCTTCATCCTCTTGATCCCAATTCCTGTCTGTCAACTCCTTCTCTGCAATTCTCTTTGCCATTTCTCCACACCTGCAAGAGTTTCACTAATCAGTAATTTGGTGAACTGTTAGACTAGCACAGAATACATTTGCACAGAACGAAATACTAGTTCAAATATTCCTTAACTTGTATTGCTCAGAACAAAATGGGAAGTGTGCATTTGTATCTTTAATAAAGTAATTTAAAATTAAAAAGATGAATAAAGTCTCAGTTATGTTTAACGTATATAGTTGCTATTTGATGCTAAATTTGTTCAAAATAATTGAAACTTATTTCAGGATGCCTACATATGTAGTGTGTTCTCAAATCCTAAAAGCGCACGAGTAGCTCTAAAGCAGACAGCGGTGGAACCACAACAGTTCAGTTAAATGAGAAACCTACCTTAAAAAAGGTAGAGCATACATGTTACCCTTTAAAAATTATGATACCTCCCGTGAACCTTCTAAAATTTAAGAGAGAGGAAGATTTTACAGTGAAAAGTAACCAGCTAAAGTTCCTTTTATTGCGGAGAAATAAGGGACCTTGTACTCAGCAAAACAGAGTTTAAAAGTCACATTTTACTTTGGTAAGATCCTGGCAAACTGTCAGTGTTAGAATTTTATTTTAAGTTTGAGGTTAGAGATGCATATGTGAGAAATTCTACATAGAAAGCAGGGTTATTTTAGAAAGCTAAAAATAAGTCAATTGCACTAATACAACTTACTTTAAGCTCAGTATCTTGGCTTTAACTATAAAGATAGGATATTTCCTATGGAAACACTGTCATTTTTTACTTTAAGAGTAAATATAGCCCTGACAGTTGATAATATTCATGAATTACAGTAGTAGAATTAAATTACTTTGCTTAGGGACAAGAATAAGATAAGGTTTGGGGCCCTATATTTCCTGCATTGATGAAATCACCAAAGTTCATAAGGCTTCCTTCAGCATCCAAACCACAAGCAAGTCAGAACACCAGCACAAAAGAAAGAGCTGGTTAATCACTGTGAAGGAAAATAGACTAAAAAAAAAAAAAAAAAAGGCCCAAGAACCCTCCCTAAAGGGACAGGGTATTGTAAAGGCTACAAAAGGAAGTTGCAGAGCAGGCTTGCACAAGCACCCCTCTTTGGATGATATTAGGAAATGGCCTCACCAAATTTTCACATCAAAACCAGGGACAGACAACTGGGTTGAAGAATTTTAAGGAGCCAGATCTCAAATCAAGACTATCTGACATACAAGGAAAGTACTCTAATCTATGCAACTCTGGCTTGCCCCCACTTTTGTTATCAGGGGACAGGTTTCATATGATTCATTTGGGTCTGATGTACCTGCATGCTTCACTAATGTAAAAGCAGGCTATTTGCAGATTATGGAAGTCTTGCTTCTCTGCACTGAATGGGAAATCTAGTCACCACAACAAGAGTAAAGGAACTGGAGCATGTATACTGGTAAAAACAAGTAAGGGGTAGCTTAGCATAAAAGTCTGGTACCCTTTATCAGAAAGCAAGAGAAGCTAACTGGCCTCGGTGTTCCTTCAGAGACACATGCATTTACACAACTTCTTCACAGGGGAAGAAAAGAAGAGGTTCTCTTTCACTACAAACCAAGGCACATTCAAGTAGAATTTAAGCAGAGTTCTCACTAGGTTTCTTTCTTGGATTAGAAAGCAGAGATATGAGAGACTCTCTACCTCATAACTTGTACACATGCAGAGGTGTTCTCCACACAGCTCTCACCACAGCAATTCTACAGTGAGGCCAGATGGAGAGTGAGGCCAAACAAACAAACAAACAAACAAACAATCACCAAACTGCATTTACTTTAAAACCCAGGAGAAGTTCACCTGGAAAATTAGGGGTACACCAATAGAGATTTTGGGGGCTGATACCAATGGCCAATTTTTAAGGAGCCATATCAGCCAATACCAATCCAATATGCAACCCAGCAGCTTGGAGATCAGTGTCCGGCAGGTAAGTCAGGTTGTTGTGGGAGAAGGGAAGGGGGCAGATCAAAGCCCCCATGGTGAGGGAGGACATGGGGCTGGGGAGGGGTTGCACAGAGCTGTGAGTGGCTTGTCCGGGGGACATGGGGAGGGGAGATGGCTCCTGCCCTGTGTGCACCCTGGGAGGGGGTCCAGATCTGCATTGGGGAGCAAGGGTGGGATGCTACTGAGAGCTGGGCTGGGTTCTTGGGGGGGGGG